GAGCCAATCACACGAGAGAGCAGAGGTGAGAGTCACATGACCCTGAGAGAGCCAATCACACGAGAGAGCAGAGGTGAGAGTCACATGACCCTGAGTTGACCAATCATGAGAGGGAGAGGATGGAAAGAGGGAGAGGAAGAGGAAGATGAGTGGTGAGGAGACTCCACACCCTGCTCTCTCTACCCTGTGTAGTGTACTGTGCGGTCCTGCAGGGGTCACTGTTCAGTCTTTTATTCTGCGTTTGTTCTCCATCCTGTAGGTCTGGTTAAGAGCCCAGAGGTGTCTGAGATCTCCGCCTCTGAGGGGACCCCTGGGCAACCCCTGACCCTGGGCTGCCAAATGTCCGGGTTTTACCCTCCTGAAATCAAGGTGCACTGGCTGCGTGTCCACAGGGACCAGGAGGAGGCGCTCTCAGAGGGCCTGGCCCTCTGGGGGCCCATAGAGACGCACCCCTACATCTTCAGGGCCAGCGCCCAGGCCTCGGTCCCAGACAGAGGGACTGAGGGGGGGAACGGGGGGAGCCTGATCAAGTGCATCATCGAACACAGCTCACTGGAGAGGCCCCTAGAGAGACAGTGGAGACACACCTGCACAGGTAAGACTGAGAGACACACCTGCACAGGTAAGACTGATTCACACACCTGCACAGGTAAGACAGAGACACACACCTGCACAGGTCAGACTGAGACACACACCTATACATATAATACTGAGACACACTCCTGCACAGGTAAGACTGAGACACACACCTGCACAGGTCAGACATACTGAGACACACACCTGCACAGGTAAGACTGATTCACACACCTGCACAGGTAAGACAGAGACACACACCTGTACACATAATACTGAGACGCAGACCTGTACAGGTAAGACAGAGACACACACCTGCACAGGTAAGACTGAGAGACACACCTGCACAGGTAAGACTGAGACACACCTGCACAGGTAAGACTGAGACACAGACCTGTACATATAATACTGAGACACACACTTGCACAGGTAATACTGAGACACACACCTGCACAGGTAAGACTGATTCA